AATGAGTTTGAGGGGATATTTCATAATCTATATCATTATGGATATAAAGTATGATGGTTCAACTTTTTAGTGCTTGATAGGGAGGAGTCATGATAAAAAGGTCAATATGAAATCATTTGATTATAGTAGTAACATCTAACATTTGAAATGCATCCATGCTCTTCTGTATAATTGCATTAGAGTCAAGTATCTTATTTCACATCTGTTATAACTGCTATTGCAAAGGAGAAATACTATGTCTTATTTCCAGGAGATATACACAGAGCAACTTTTTCTCCAGGGAACTTGTGCAAACCAATATAAGATCTAAATTCTTCACATAATATATAAAACAGGAGAAGCCTCTTCAGATTTAGTTTTTGAAGTCTGGAATGCTGGCACTTTCCAATTAGGCAACAGTTCTTCATTTCTGTAATCTGCAACATTGAACAGACACAAACACACATAGAGTTCTCTCGCTGTCAGAAGGTGGCAGTCAATAAACATATCTAATAACACACAAAGGATGACATCTATTGACCATTACTAAGGAACTAAATTATACCAAGCTACTTCAGTAGAAGAGCTATTTTACCTTCCCATTAAACATGTTCAAAAATAAGCCAAGTGTGGCAGCATGAGGACCAGGAGTCCCAAGTATGACCTTGTATGATTACAGTTTGGAGTACTTGAGACTATCTCGAAAGTTCAAAATCAAATATAGAAGACTAAGTTCACAAACAGCTATTAGTAATCAATTTTTGTTTGTCCCTGGTTTTACTACACTTGGTATTTCACATCTTATCTAATATAATACCCTGCCTATAAAGAGGCAGACAGCAATATTTCATTTATATCCCATTATCTTTCTTTTAAGTTCAATATTTGTCTTCTTTTTTTTTATAAATATTTATTTATTTATTATGTTTACAATATTTTGTTCGCGTGTATGCCTGCAGGCTAGAAGAGGACACCAGGCATCATTACAGATGGTTGTGAGCCACCATGTGGTTGCTGGGAATTGAACTCAGGACCTTTGGAAGAGCAGGGAATGCTCTTAACCACTGAGCCATCTCTCCAGCCCTAGGTACTATCATTTCTAACACAGCTGACAAGAGACAAGGCAGAAAGAACCCAGACTGAAAGGCAAAGAATCAGCAGGTCCTACTACTCAATAGAAGCTAATTGGTTTAGAAAGTGAACTCCGGATGATTTCTCTAAGGTCTTTAAAATTGGAATACTTAAGAGGTCTATATGCTTTAATTCAATTCTACTTAAAGGCTATAGACATATAAGCTGCCCCCAAGGTTCAGCTACTCTTACTAAAACATTGTAATTGTTATTTAAACCTACCCTGTTATCTTAGAACTTTACAGCTCTAGTCTTGTTATGTTGGCCAGGATGGCCTCAAACTCCTGTGCTCAAGGAATCCTTCGGCCTTAGTCTGAATAGCTGGGACTACAGGCATGTGCTCCCACACTAAGCTTTAGCGCTTCAAAAAATACAGGTAGTAACATGGCATTGCAAATCACAATAAATACACTGCAAGGCATTCTGATCGATAAGGCCTCTATCATCGTACACCTACAAGATCTCAGGAGACTACATTTTAAGTTGAATTACGTACAAGTCTAAGGATTAATACAAGCAATATGAATGGCTTATTGCCAGACCTAGGCAAGCTTTCTCTTCTCTAAGGTAAACTGTATGAATGCATTTTAAAATCATAATAGGTCAAGTGGTATCTTTTTCTTTAAGCTAAAGGAACATATTCTGAGAAGACAAAGTTAAAACTCAGATTTGCCAAGGTAATTTGTCAATAAGCCAGTCAACTATAAAAGAGTTAACAACACATTACCAACTTGGGTCCTCATGTACCTTTTCTTAAACACACACAAACACCAACAATAATAACTGTCAGGAAACTAATGATTTAAAGAGTTTTAATAAATCAGTTTCAGGAAAAGTCACTTAGCTCTTCAGAAAAAGAAACCATTTGGCTAGAAGCTGACCTTCCAAGTTTGACCACCTAAGACAATCTATGCTTTTCCTCCTTTCTATTTGTCCATTCTAAGGGTTGAAGTTACTCAATTCTTTTCTCTAAGAGAGATACCTACTCATCCCTATCTCTAAGGAGCACAGATTAACTCATCAGGAGCTCAGAAAGCAGTAATCTACTAAATGGGCCCCAGAGATCGACAGTAGTTAGTGTTGTCAACTCTCAAGTGAGCAGAATTTATGTTCCTCTTCTACTCCATCAATTTATTCATATTCACATAATTAGCCTCAGACTACATCATACATCTGCTTCAGGAAAGCATTCTGTTTGGTTTAATAGCTGACAAAGAAGAAACATCAGGGGATTTTAAACTGTAATTAAAGGAAAACAACTAACGGTTTCACAGGGCCTGGCTTCTTACCTGACTGTCAGCACAAATGCCACTATAAATTTCTTTCCAGTGGGTCCACTGAATGAAAGCAGAATGCTACCTGAAGTCACCTACCACTTGATGCAGACTGGCGTGACATTTGTCAGAGCAGCCACTCTTGAGAAGAGCTGACAAGCAGAACTACATATGCTACCATACATCACACAGAATGGCTCAGGGTTAAGAAGTCTGAAAATACCAATACTTGGGAGGATATGGAACTCATGAATTGCTGGTGTATGTACCCTGGTACAATCACTTAAAAAATCCACATATATAGCATATGACTGGCCATTATATTTCTAGATATGTGCATGTGCATAAGTCATGCACAGAGCTGCAAACTATCCATATATTTTGTTTGTTTTAAGCCAGGGTCTCAAGCAGCCCTGGCCATTCTGACTTTGCTATTTAAGGGAAGCTGTCTTTGAACTGCTAATCTTCCTGCCCTGTTCTTTTTCTGGGATAATAGGTGTAGGCTGCCAGGTTGGGCTCAGTATTATCCATCTTAATTCCCCAAAAGTCCCTCAATAGCAGAATACCCATTAGTCAGATAATAAATTAAGTATCGTCATATAATAAAAATTAACTACTGACACATGTAACATGGACACTTCTAAACACACAACTCTAGCCTGGTGGTGGTGGCACATGCCTTTAATCCCAGCACTGGGAGACAGAGACAGGAGGATCTCCAAGAGTTCAATGCCAACTTGGTCTACAAAGTGAGTTCCAGGACAGTCTCCAAAACTACAGAGAAACCCTGTCTCAAAAAAACAAAAAACCAAAAACCAACCAACCAACCAAAACAAACAAACAAACAAACAAAAACAACAACAAAAAACCCCCGAAACCAACCAAACAAAAAAACCCCATAGCTCTGGGTAATAGATGGCAGACACAACACACCATATGTTTTTGCTAATGCTAAGCTCAAAGAGGAGCAAACAGAAATGCTAACACTAGGTAAGTGCTCTACCCAGCCTCAAATACCCACTTGTTAGCAGGTGTTGACAACACGGTGGTGAGCAAATCACACACGACCCTCACTCTTAGTTTAGACACTCCTGGGGAGGAGGCAAAGTATCCAACAGATACAGGTGTCTGCCTCATGTATAAGCAACAGAAGCTGAGAAACACTGAGAGTCAGTAAAATGGTTAGAGTTCGGAGAAACGAGGAAGGGTTTACTCTGCTTAAGCATCTTACCTGGCTCAGAGCTGCTGCTGACTTCAAGTCTAGAGCAGCAGACATGATTTCTTTTTAGGCTTCTTCTTTTCCACTGGTGTTTTTCTATTTATCTGTCTGACCAGGTCATAAAATATCTAGGTAAAAACAACAATAAAAAGTACTGATTGCTTGTTTCACAAAATCATTTTGAAAGTACTTAGTATTACTTTTCCATTGTATCTGAACTTTACTGATTTCTTTTGAAGTTTCTTAGCTCCCCAAGCTAACTCTCCGAGTAAAGAAGGCCCTACCTATCCATAATGGATATGTACTTGCTTAGACAGCCAGTAGTCCAAAAAAAAAAAAAAAAAAAATTAGAAGAGAAAGGTAGCAAACACTTAAAAGCTATAATTATAACAACAGCACCAGAGAGCTTCTGTACATTCTTCCTATATCCGAGTAATAACTATGAACCATATGATAGTGGCATATATCCTTAAAGGGCTAAGCATGTATCTCCCAGAACAATATACTCTTTTGTTTTGTTTTTCAAGACAAGGTTTTTGTGTGTAGCCCTGGCTGTCTTGGAACTCACGCTGTACACCAGACTGGCCTCAAACTCTGAGAGATTCACCTGTCTCTGCCTCCCAAGTGTTGGAATCAAAGGTGTGAGCCACCTCACCCAGCAAGAGTACACTCTTATATAATCTTAGCAAATGCTGATCCTAACAGGACATTTAAACATCAATACATTTTTTTGTAGCATCTTCAGTGTAAATTCCAGTTTTGTCAATTATCTCAATGAGGCCCTAAAAAGTTACTTTCCTCTTGGGCAGAAATCTACCAGGAGCCACACTGCATTTTGCTTCTTGATAATGTAGCACTCGTCTGTCTGTCTGTCTGTCTGTCTGTTATTATTTCCTTATTGTTTGAGATGGGTTCATTTCAAGCCCATGCTGGCTTCAAACTCACTGATTAGTCAAGGCTGGCTTTAAAATCCTGACCCTCCTGCCTCCATCTCCCAAGTGCTGGGATTATAGACAATACTACCTCAAGAACTGCTTTCGGTCTTTTAAAATTGGGAACAGTTCTTTAGTCTTTGTCTTCCAGGGTTTTGTCATTTCTGAAAAAGTTTAATAAATGTATAGAATTTCCCTTAATTTGCATTTGATGACGCGATGTATATTTTAGGCTGGGACAGGAAAAAGCATGTGTCTGTTCAGATAACACAAGATCAGGTACATGGTATGTCCACCCCTTAAGGATTTGTATTTTAAAGTAGTGCCTCAGTATTCAGCCCTGGATAGCCTGAAACTCACTTTGTAGACCAGGCTGGCCCTGAACTTAAGAGGTTCATTTACCTCTACCACCTGAGTGCTGGGATTAAAAGTGTGCACCTCCACAGTCAAAGCAAACAAGACAACAACATAACAGACAGGAAAAGTCCACTAATCCTTGATTTGAAGGCACAAAGAGTATAGTAATAATCTTGGAGATTCATCTTTGGAAGAGTAAAAAATCATCAAGGACAAAACCACAATACTACTTTTTTTTTTTTTTTTTTTTTTTTTTTTTTTTTTTTGTTTTTCGAGACAGGGTTTCTCTGTAGCTTTGGAGCCTGTCCTGGAACTCCCTTTGTAGACCAGGCTGGCCTCGAACTCTCAGAGATCCTCCTGCCTCTGCCTCCCAAGTGCTGGGATTAAAGGTGTGCGCCACCACCGCCTGGCACCACAATACTTGTTATTTCATAAAAGTGGGTTATTAACTCTGGCATGTGTTGAGATGTTACCGGTCCATCCCTATTGTGTTCCTTAAAGCCAACTCTGCAAGAGTTATTCAGATGATGATGGTGAGGGCCTTCATTTTCATCTCAGGCCATTAGTGAGTGCTGTGGGACAATGGTCTTTTATCCTGTCACTTGTATTATTTTTAATAAAATGCTGATTGACCAGTAGCCAGGCAGGAAGTATAGGTGGGACGTCCAGGCAGAAGTAGAGGAGGGGCAATGAGAATGCTGGGAAGAGGGAAGCACAGCCCACAGTATGACCCAGCCACAGAGGAAGCAAGATGTGACTGCCTCAGAGAAAGCAAGATGTGACTGCCTCGCCGAAAAAGGTACCAAGCCATATGGCTAACAAAGACAAGAATTATGGGCTAATGTAAGTTATAAGAATTAGTTAAGAAGAAGAGCCTGAGATACTGGGTCAATCAGTTTATAATTAATGTTGACCTCTATGTGATTTCTTTGAGACTTAACGACTGCAGGAACTGGGCAAGACAGAAACCTCAGTCAACAAGTGAGTGTCTGCATTATTATAGCAAAGAACCAGACTCAGCTGACATAGTCTTTAACACGTTGGCATAATTAACATAATAAAACTACAAATAAACAAAACAGTGTAGAAGGCAAGTTTCCTGACTTTTATTTTGCAGTGTTGGGAACTGAACTCAGGCCTTGCTCATACAGGCAAATGCTCTATAGCTGAGTTTTGCTTTAGCTGTATGATCTTAATAGTTCTGGTTTTGTTCAAGAATGTCCTTAAAATATTTTTAGTGATTTTTTATTTCATATTTATGTATCTGTGTGGGTATCTGAGGAGTCCAGAAGTGTTAAATCAACTGCAGCTGGACTTAAAGGAGGTTGTGAACCGTGGGTACTGAACCTGAACTCATGGCCTTTCATAGAGTCCTATGAGCTCTTAACCACGGAGCAACCTCTACAGCCCGAGAATGCCTTTGATCGAAGGAAACACACACTAAAATATAAAAGAGTAAAGAAAAGTGATTTCTATAAATATGTGGCAAAATGTTAACTAGTGAATTTGAAGTGAAGAATAAACAGACTATTTTTCTTGTTCTTAGATTAAGTAAAGTTCAAAAGCAAGAGATTTAACATCAGTGACTTATATTTATTTCCTTTGCTATAGTGGGAAATTAAACCCAAGGCCTCTGTATGTTAAGCAAGTCCTCCACCACTGAGCTGTAGTCTAGCCTGTGTATTTTTTAAAAAGATGACATGCTACATTTCTTTAAGATGATAATCATGTTACTTTTTCAAATGACTCAGAGATTACAAGACTAAGATGTTGAAAAGAAAAAAAAAGAACAGATTCATTACAAAGCTATAAATAAATGTATTATTTTCTGTTTGTCCTATCCATCTAAATCCCATTTCCTAAAAATACTCTACTCTCTATAATCTTGTTTCTAAGAGAAGGTTAAAACTACAGCACTTATAAGGAAAATGATAGCTATTTCCACCACTCTGAAGCCTTTAAGAACTTAATGTATATGAGTCAGGAAAAAGTTCTCATTAGTACCCAAGGCTTAACATGCAAGTTATGATACAGAATAACAAAAAGATAAACCAGAACAGTAAATTAATGAGACACAGACGCAGTTCCTATTTCAGTTTCTTCATACCAGTCAATGTCCAGTTTCTGGCACACATTATAGAGACAGGTAACTGACTGTTTGTAGTATTATTCTAAATTATTTCTTTGGAAAATATTGCCTACCTCACAGCAGCAGAAGGTTCAATGATGAGGGCAAGTTCGAACTATAATATTTGGTTAGAAATGCTGAAAGTCCCCAGCCTAGGTTCTTCCTCATCTCTCTGAACTATAGAAAAATCTAGAGGGAACACAGAATAGAGTTTCTCAACCCCTCTCCCATTCCTAATTGGGATGTCTTTATTCCAATCATTACTCTAGCCTTAGCACAAAAAAAAAGAAAAAGAAAAAGAAAGAAAGAAAGAAAGAAAGAAAGAAAGAAAGAAAGAAAGAAAGAAAGAAAGAAAAAAGAAATTTGGAGCTAAGATTGAGGTAATTCCAGTGCATCATTTGCTACTTGCAGAATATAGAGAATTAGAGGGCTCTGGCCAAGCACAGTATTCTTGTCTGTTTGCAAATTTAAGTCAAGAGCTGAATCTTGTGGAATGATTATTCCTCTATTTTCATGCATTCAGAAACCACATAAGCATTTACAAAGCAACACAAACTGTCCAACTATCCAAGAAATTCTGCAGCTAAATTTTTAGACTATGAAGAGTAAAATCTTTAAAAAAATGAAACACTTCAAATTATATGCTCTTGTCTAGCATGCAGCCTGTGTGGTCTTACTATAAAATGACTATGACATTTTATATTGTTTTCTAAACCCCTATGTGAACTTTAGCAAGACTGCTGTGAAAAAGTCAACTCTGCTGCATTAGAAACTGCAATCAAGGGAGCTCTAATTGCCTGTGTAGGTGTCCATAATCATGTAATGATTAAAGAGGAAGACTACCTACTTCCTCCCTACTAAACTCTGGCTCCTACAGGAAGAGGTCTTGTGTGGTGGACTCTGGTCCAACTCAGCCGCAGCATACTTGATGAACTTCAGAGATGGGACAGCAGTGACGGTGATGGAGACAGTAAGGAACCAGATTCCAAAGGCCAACCATATTACAGAAGGTGACATTGTACCACAATTCCACTGTTCAAGAGCACTCACCAACTGTAATGTATTCTTCATTAAAATATTACTTGTTCATTTTAGTTAGGGTCCAGGCTGGTCTAGAACTCATTCTCCTGCCTTGGCCTCCAGCATGCTGAGATTACAAGTGTATCCACCATACCTGGGCTCCTTTTCTTGCTCCCTTATTCTTTCAAATGATACTATACTAAACAGTAAGTTTTTTTATTAGAGCTACATTTTAAAATACAACCTCTAGGAAATTCTAATTCCACAACAAAGAAGGATAAATGGCTGGCTGGCTATCAATTTCTTCTCATTCACCTAGCACTGGATAACAAATAACTGTCATGGAAGCCCCCAGCAGGACTCGTTCCCCAATTAGGATGTAAACTTCTTAAGGGTAGAAATAGTTCTGCCTGGATTACTGCCACCTGGGTGCAGAATAAAGTACCAGGCATACAACAGGTACTCAATATGTTTGCCAGAGAAATGGAATTAACAGATTTTTTTTATTTGTTAAAAGTGGTTTCATCTAAAAAAAAAAAAAAAGCTTTAGCATTCTTTATTATTTGTAAGAAACAGAATCTGTAGTAAGTTGGTTTTTTCCTTGCCAGATGTTTAAAATAATTTAGCCATCTTAAAAGTCCAATAATAGTCTACAAGCATAGTCATGAAAAATGACTTACAGAGAGGCCAGAGAGGAACAGTAAGTGAAACCCCAGCCATGATGACCTAACCCACTCATTCTCACCTCTGTCTAGTTACCAAGATGCTTCCCTGGGCCAGAGAAGGGCAAGAGCCTTACTCTGCCTCTCTGCCCTCATTTCTTTCCTTTTTCAAAGGCTTTTGACAAAATTCCAAAAGCAAAAGGAATGTCATCGGTTTACCTGATTGGTGGTAGCAATTTGGGAACTGCACTAAAATTTTAGGGGCCCAGTCAACTATGGCTCTTTAAAATGAGGCACATATAGCCTATCTGAAAAGCTTTCTGTCCCACAGTTAATATCTTAAGATAGTGGGTGGAGTGCTTAAATCAGCTGTGTGCATCTGGACTATCAGCCTGAAAGGACTGAATGGTTTGAATTATATGTCCATTCATATACAACCCCACAATTTTAGGCATGCATCAAAAGTGAAACGAACAAAAAAGAATTCTATGATAGTATTATATATAACAAAAGACCATTATAATAGCAACCTTAATTTTTTTGTTTTTTCCTATTGGACTCTACCACCTATGTGCTATATTTAACTGGATAAGTAACTATTACAGAGATAATTATGTTTTCTTAAAAATTCTGGCTGTGGAAAATAAAAAGACACTTGTTTGGATTGTCTAGTAGTTGTAGGTTACCTCATTAACATTGATCTTTGACTTTGCAGAAGATTCTAAAAAGGCACAGTTACACCACTGTCTTGCTAAATTCTGGCCTTGTTCTTTGCCAACTACCCGCTCATCTTCAAGGTCACATTTATTGCCAACCAAAATCATTGGAACCTGCAGGAAGGAAAAAAAAAATGAATTACATACTCGTTACTTATCCTGTTCTGACAAATAAGCAATTACCTGCTAACAACAGAAGCATACCAGTCTACAACTGTATGCTCTACCAAGTGCTTTAAAAAGGGTGCTGTGTGTTGTGGTTGTTTGGAAGAAGAAATGGAGTGGGGGAGGAAAGGAAGGAAGGAAGTCTATTTTGGAAGAACTCCTACTAGATTCATATACCAAATTATTTTAAAGGAAATGATACCATTTTTTCTTAATTTCAATTTTTTATATGAATGTTGTGAACAATACTCATGTGTGGTACCTAGGGAGGCCAAAAGAGCTACAGATGGTTGTAAGCTGCCATGTGGATGCTGAGGATTGACCTCTGATCCTCTGGAAAAGTGTCAAGTACTTTAATCATTGAGCCATCTCTCCATCCCTTCATGATTCTAAAATTCTCATGTGGATTACTACAAAGAGCTGAATTTCAAATAGAAAATTCTGAAGGAAAAGGAATTCCCTATAATACATGAAACACTATATTCATTTACCCTAAGTGGTTTAAATGTTTTATCTCACAGGTCTAATAAATGCCAAAAAATAGTGACATTATTAGCAGCTTCTATATCTAATTACTAGCTTTCTCTGTCTAATATTAGACTTAAAAGACTGTGGGCAGGGGGCTGGAGAGATGGCTCAGTGGTTAAGAGCATTGCCTGCTCTTCCAAAGGTCCTGAGTTCAATTCCCAGCAACCACATGGTGGCTCACAACCATCTGTAATAAGGTCTGGTGCCCTCTTCTGGCCTTCCGCATACACACAGATAGACTATTGTATACATAAATAAATATTAAAAAAAAACTTAAAAAAAAAAAAAGACTGTGGGCAGCAGTGGGGAAGAGACAGAAATCTTTAATAAATAAAAAAAAAAAAAAGAATAAAAATAGGAGCTGGAGAGATGGCTCAGTGGTCAAGAGCACCTGCTGCTCTTTCAGAGGACTGAGCTCAGTTCCCAACACTCATGTCAGGTAGCTCACAATCACCTGTAAACCCAGCTCTAGGGAATCAATGTCCACTTCTAGCCTCACCACATGGAATACACAGACACACATATATTTAAAAAAAAAGTCACTAAGCAGCTGTGTCTTCCCTTTTACTCTACACCACAGATGCTTGACTATCCTGAAACACAACATCCATTTTCACAGCTAACAAACTGTGTGAGGCTCCTCAGCTAAAAGTTCAGAGAACAAAGTCAGGAGGTTGTAAGACAACAGCACTACACAAAAGAAAGAATGTAAGAGACAAGGTGAACCTTCTGCCCCAAATAGGTTCAACAGTCTAGGCACCTTCACTCAAACGTTTGTCCTTTACTGGCGGAATAAAGGGGATTAACATTCCCGGAACTCACTAACTATTCATTAAGGACATTCCGCCTATCTACAATGGTATTAAGGTTAAGGTCCTGAGCAGATGAATAGTTCCCATCAGAACACACAAAACCAGAAAGGTCTATCTGAAAATTTCTATCCTAGCTATATAATTGAAAAGGAACTTTTCTATAACCTCAAACTGATGGAAATGTGTAAAATATATTTCATATTTTACAAAAGATAAGAAAAGGGTGTATGCTACAAACAAATGTGGTGCATGCCTATAAACCCAGTACTGAGAAGGAGGGAGCGGGGCTGTCATGAGGCATGTCCTTAATCCCAGCACTCAGGAGGCAGAGGCAGACAGACCCCCGTGGGTTTGAAACTAGCCTGGTCTACAGAGTGAGTTCGAGGACAGCCAGAGCTATACAGAGACAGCTTGTCTCAAAAAACCACCCCCCAACACAAAAAAAGAAGATGGAGATAGGAAGGTTAGGTGCCCAAAGCTAGCCTGGGTGTGCGTGCACACGCATATGTGTGTGTGTGTGTGTGTGTGTGTGTGTGTGTGTGTGTGTGTACATACAGCAAGATAATGTGTTAAAAAAAAAAAACAAAGAATATTTGTATGATAGAATATTAGAAAAAGGAACATTAACTATGGTTCTGTGAATACTACTTCTCACATTCAAAGCTCAACTTGAGTCCCACTTCTTCCTACTTCTGTGAAGTTTTCTGACTCATCTTTCCTGTGCTTTTTATCCACATGGCAATGCTCACTTTGTATACACACCTCATATTCTATACATCTCAGCATATGATTTGTATGTTAATTTTGAAAGTCCAATTTCAGAGCCTGTTTTTGGCATGTTAGACACTTTCCAAACCTTATACTGATGGGAAAGCAGACACTTTTCCTTTGACTATGGAGAGATGGCAATATGTCTTAGAGAGAAAATACTCACATCTTCTGTGTCTTTAACCCGTAAAATCTGTTCTCTCAAGTCCTGTAGGTCATTAAACGTAGACTGAGCTGTGATTGAATAGACTAGTGCAAACCCTTGGCCATTCTTCATATACAAATCCCTCATTGCTGTAAATTGTTCCTGTGGTATAAAAAAAGATCCAGTTATAAATATAATGCAGCTTTTTAATGGATGCTGGAATTATTTTAAACAGAATAAATCTCAAGTAAGGACATACATTTTAAATTATATATTGTCATAAGATTTCATACTAGTTTCTAGAAACTGAGATGAAAGTTTGTGTTTGTTGACACAATTCCTTTAATATACAAACCTTAACTGTTTTTGTTTGGAAGATTTATAATACTCAAGTAGAAACAATCCAAAATGCAGATCTGGTACTGAATTATAAACATCCAACTATCTTTCTATTGATGCTTTATCATCTTGACAATCAGTACATTACCAGCCCTAGATTAGACTCTTGAAGAACTTTTTCATATATTTTTTTATTTCCCTGCTTGCTGCATTTCAAATTCTTAGAAAAGATCTGAGGATAGTACAGTGACTATTTTCTTCAGACTCACTAGCCATTAACACCGGTCACACAGCTACAGTCTCACTAAATTAAATTAAATTAAATTAAATTAAAATGACTTCTGCTTGCTTAAAACCTACTTTGTCTTTGGAGAATCATTATTGTATTTTATAATTATAGATAATAATACAGAACAGAATCTTATCTAAAAAGTCTTGGATTTTATATGCAGTATTAAAGAAGTCACAAAATGCAGAATTTTAAAAACAAATTTTTTAACTGCTTTATCATTAAACATACAAATCCATAAAGCTTCATAAACTTTTTGCTTTTTTGGCTTGCTGATTCCCACTGTCAAACCTCAATTTTTGTCTACTCTATCAGAGTAGTTCTAGATGCCCCAGCCTGTCCATTGCACTCCATGTGTGCTGCAGGATGTCAGCTGTGCTAACCCTCACCCACATCCTTAACCTTCAAGTTTGGTACTTTTGCATATTTTTCTGGATTTTTCATTTATAAACTTCAAACACAATTCAATTATGATATGTAAGCATCAATCACATCACAAAACAACTTTATATATCCAAGAAAATTTATAAAACCTTACATTTAGAGAATTAAGAATCAGAAATAACCACTTTACACGGAGAATTACTTAGATAGCAAAACCTGCTCACACACTAAAACTTGTTACATGAAAAGGAAAGAATCCTTACTGTTCCTGCAGTATCCAGGATTTCCAGCATACATTGTTGGCAATCTACTTCAACTTGCTGTGGGGGAGCAAAGAAGGAAAAAAAAAAAGTAACATCAACATGTTTTCCCTTTTACCTCTTCAAAATACTTAACAACTACCAAGTGTTCTTCTACTTAGTACCACAATAAAGAACAGGGAGGGTCTCTGAGCACACCAGCATCACTCCAAAGGCAGGGTGGTTAAAGTGAGTGTGGGTATTTTCTGACTGCTATAATGATGCTCATTTGTTCTTATTGGATGGCAAAAAAAAAAAAAAAAAAAAAGAAAGAAAGAAAGAAAGAAAGAAAGAAAGA